TCTTTCCTTCCAGATTTGAAGCTCTCTATATTTGCCTGTTAGATTTGTGGTTCCTTTGAAAGCATTTTTCCTCCTCCAACTCTTTGTTGTTAAAACAACTGTTCTGAAGGCTCCGTTAGGTTTTTAAGCTGGGAACAAATTGCTCACCAAGTAGCTCAGATGGTTTTGAACAAATGGTCTTCTGAGGTTGAATAGTGTAATCTGCATTAACCTCTGAGTTGAAGTGCTAATCTCCTCTTTCAAATACATGGGAGTTCTCTGGTATTTCTCAAAGCAGTGGAACCTGGGAGAGAACAGGATAACTTTTCCTGTACCAGACCCAAACCTAATATTCCTTGTCCAGAACTCTTACTGAGAGCGTTAGACATGCAGAGAACATAAGCGTGGGCTCTAAAATGTCAGCACTGATGAGAATTTCTTTTTCAGTTGGCTCAATAAAAGAGTGTATCTGAGACTTTGAACAGTAATAAACCCCAGAAATATTGCATACACTCTGTAATATGCAAAAGATTAATTCGCTACACTGAAAAGAATGAAGCAGTTTTAGCTACAAAAGGCTGCTTTATTATTGAAATGGCAGAAATGCACAAAAGTAAGTGCAGAACCATAGGAATAGCCAATCTGGATTAAATACTGGTCTGGTTAGTCTAGTACCCTCCCCCCAGTAGTATTTGGGATGCTCAGGTGAGTGATCACTTTCAGAACTGAGGAATGATGTTAAGATATTTTCTTTTTTCCAGCTTTCCAAGCTAGAAGTGTTAGTGGCCATAAAATTATCATGAGCCCTTTAAATTTCAGCTACACATTTTGTTTCTCAGGAACTTCCTGCATCAGTGACTCTCACATGCTGTGACTGGGTAAATAAATATTGCTTTATCCATTCCCAAGTTAGCTGCCCTGTGAATTTGAGTAGGTCCTTGTTCTTGCATAATGGGGTCACAGTTAAAAAGGAGGAAGAGACTGGTTTTAACTGTTGTCTTTGTAATTTGAATACTCCATTCAGGTCCCTATGGATTCTTCTCCTTTGCTATCTCTACTTCTGTGGCAGTTCTCTCCTGCAGGCAGCCCATCTCAAGTGTCCTTCCCTGGACATTTCTGTTTGATTCTGAAATAGTTTCTCTGTCCCTAATAGAACACAGTATTTCAGATTCAGTTTTGCTGTTAAATTCATTGTCCTTTTTTATAGATTACTCTCACTTACCCTTTTTCAGTACCCCCCCCACTCCCTCAAAACATACTTACCTCCTTTGCTCTGCAGTGTGAAAAGGTTGCCACTGTGCTAAGGGATTCATTCTTTAGGTTCAGCCCACCAGCATATAAAGGCATTTTGCAAGGCATATCATGTTGTGTGATGTTTACAACTATCCTGATCATGTTGTTACTGCAGTTTCTGCCTGAGTCTTCTAGCAGGAACTTTTTGCATGCAAGAGCTGGTTGGAAAGTTTTGTCCTTAGTTAGCATACTCTATGTTGACCAATGCTCGTCTTACAAATACGGTATTTGAAATGGATTTTGTTTTACAAAAAAATTCAAGGCTCCTACCAGAGGGAAGATACCGGGCCAAATGGCCTGCATTGAGGTTAATTAAACTCTGATTCCTGACTTCTGCCCTCAAATTTGACAACCCCTCTGAGTTGCCTTTATTGTGTTCAACAGGCTAAATTCATTTCTGAGTGCTTCTGTTTAAAAATGTTTAAAGATTTGTTCCAGCAATGAATCATTAAACCAAAAATATTTCTGTTTTTACTGTAAGCCCTGATCATAAACAAAATCGTGCATGGAATCTATGAGAAAGTATCATGTGTATCACAGCTTTGTGTACACACAGAATTGACTCTGAAAGTAGTAGTATTTCAGGACCTGTATTTTTAAATCAGTGTTTGGCATAAATCAGGTTGCAGCAAAAAAAAAAAGTTTGTCAGATTAGGAAGAAAATGGCATTTTTATGCACAGCTTTTGAAGAAATAAAATTTGAATACTATAGGAAGTAATATCATTCTAGGTTTCTCATAGGCTCTAGGTTTTTCTTGGGGATTTTCTTACACTAGAGGAAGGAATTAAACCTCTCGGTTAAAATGACAAGTCGGGTAACGGCTGACTTATCTAATCCCTTCCTCTACTTTCAGTTGATCACATTCTTCTTCCTGTTTTGTTCTGCACTGCATTGTTAACGTCCTCCCCTCCAGAACAGACTCCCCTATATAAGGCTGGAAAAAAAAACCCAAATGTTTGTGTGCGTCCCCAGTGAAAATTTTATCCCGCTGAATGGCATGAGGGAGGAAGGGAATTTGTTTACCTTCCCAGAGAGACACTACTGGGAGGCGTGAGGGAAATTACGTAGTTGAGGAGAGCGTAGAGGTGGTGTGAGGTGGGGGATGACAGGAGGTCAGCATCCCTCATGGTTCTGCAAAAGGAAATTTGAGTGGAAACATTCAGAGGAGCTGTAAGAGGTGCAGAGAGGAAACCTGCCGCTTTGATGGCGGTTTGGACTACTACCATCAAGATGATGTCACTACTTTAAATTTGTCCTATGACTTTCTAGCTAGTGTGCGATCTCATGCTCGTTCACCTGCTTGGGGAATTTTGCAGTGTTAGGGTTGCAAGTGTTCAATATTGTTTTGCTCTTCCTGCTCGCTTCTAAGAACGTGACACCTTTTCCTTTTGATGTCCTTACTGGAATCTGGTAGCAAGTCCAGTTATGCTGCACTAGTTTTGTGGGTTGTGCTTTTCAACTTTAAGTGAGCCTGATTCTTGAAAGAAACACAAACTTCTGCACAAATGCCCCATGATAAAGTGCTGTACAAGGCAGCACATGGTTGAGCAGGTCTAATGCTGTTCTATATCTTGCAGTATTCTCAAAACAAATGGGAAATCATCACTTCCGGTATGGACAGCTACACAGAACTTAATGGAAAATCTTAAACTTCAGGATTTGAAAGTAGCCAGGCATTCTGGAAAATGCAGGGAAAAGCTGTGCTCAGTAGCAGACAAAACAACAGCCAAAGTCAGGATGTAGGAGGAATAGTTTAGAAAATAACAGAGGCAAAATGGAGCCTGTACATAAATTGGGGTTCCTCAGTTCATTCTTTTGGGATCAAGAAAGATGTCATAGGGGGTTCACAGCCGGTTATGGGAACCTGCCAGGGCATGGAGACACTTCCACATGGCGAGAGAGGGAAGAGACTCCTCCTGTTGTAAGAGGTTGTTGATTAAAGGACTCAGCGATGTATCGAAAACACGGTGGTAGTAAGGACAGAAAGTGCTTCCTGACAGTAGGATGACAAGGAGACTGTTCCCGGGCTATCCTCTTAACTTAACTTGGTCCTGGCTGTAACAGGTGATGTTGAGTTCACTAATTCACCAAAACAGCTCTGTGGGTTGCAGCAGTGATTCCCTGAGTGAGGATGGAGAGGGCTGAAGTAGGGCTCTGCAAGTGCAGGCGAGTCTAAGGAAAAGCAGTGCTGAGCCTTTTCCTATTAATGCCATTATTAATAAGCACAGACCCAAGAAGGATGTGGGTAAATGTTTGATAATCTGTGTTTTTTGTTTTAATACAGATAGGTGAGTCACTTGCTGAGAAGAGTTTTCAGTGAAATTGAAAAGTAATTTGTTAAATGAAAAGCATCTAGGTAAATTAGAGCAGAACACATGTTTAGGCTGTGGAGTTCATGGCCATGTGGTGGTGGTGTGGTCAGCAGTCTTGTGGGATTTCAGAGAGATTAGATATTTGTGTAGCTAGTGACAAAATCTGTAGTTTTGATATGTGTATCTACAGTTGTGTATATGTTTAAAAAGTTATAACACATAGATATTAAATTTTTTGTTTATATTATAATTTGCTATAAATCCTTGTGCTTCAAGACATCTGGAATTAGGGAGAACTAATAAACAGATGTTTAGACTGTTACTGAAAAGGTCCTTGCACCTTTCTTTGAAGCACTGAGTACTGTTGACAGTGACAGGGCGCTAAACTTGATATATCTGGGAGTCTTGTTCAGTTTGGAAGTTCCTATAGAACTTTTTGAATTATCATGCAGAATATGAAATCAATAGTATAGCCTCTGTAGCATTGTATAGGATGGTTCAAGCCTCTCCGCATCCCCAAACACGAGAAAACTTTTTAATCTATTCAGTTCTTGTTGATAGAAATTATTTTCTATGGAGCTCTGTTCCACCCTCGTTACTGGCTTTAGGAGAGTAGAGGCAGTGAAGCTTATCCTAGCTCTGATGAGTGCAGTGAGGCTGTGGCCACAGAACAGATCTTCTTTTAGACAACTTCCCCTCCTCTTTTCTTCAACTTGGTGAAAGCACAGATTTAACGTGTTCCCCATGATGCCCCCTCAAGCTCTCACACCCTCATTCTTCCTCTTACTCTATTCCCATCACTTCTTTCATGTCCCTTTTGCCTCTTTATTCTTCCCCCTCTGTAAAGTTGATCATCCTACAGAGATGCTCTCCTTTTTCCCCAAGTAGAAGTGAGAAGGGGAGAATGCAGTTCTGAACAAGTGAATGTAAATGACAGAAAAGATTGATGAAAAGAGCTGAAGGATGACACAAAATGCAGGCTCAAAAAAGAAAAGATCAAAGAGAAAGGAAGGAAAATAAACCCAACCTTGGCCTTTAGTGGAACATTAACCAGACAGACAAAGAAGAAAAGCAATTGTTGAAGGAAGGGGAAAGGCCAACGGATTCATCTCACCTGACATCTACAATACACATGCTGAAAGGAGAGCTGCCTGACTAGAGTCCTTTTTAGTCGATGGAGAGAAATAGGCATTTTTGAGGTGTGGTTCAGCTGACATAGTTTAGGTGGTTGCCTCAGAAAGAGATGAATTGTGCCCTTAAAGAGCTGTTCTCTTGCTGACTCTGAAGGGAATCTAGTAAACTGTAGTGATATTTGCAGGGCAAGTTGTCTGTGTTTGAAGTCAGATGAGATGTGTCCCCTTTGCAAGAAAGAAGAAAACCGAAGGCTGCCGGAAAAAAATCATTTTACATGGCTTTGCGGAAATTGGCATTATGTGTTCTTAGGTTAACCTTTTAGGTCAGTAAATAGGAATTGGTTCCCGTGTGGTATGACATAAAAACACATCTGACCCAGGGTCCATGTGGTCCAGTAGCCTCTCTGTGGTGATGGCCTGTGCTAAATGCTTATGGAAGGAGTATGAGAAATATGACAGGTATAATAGGATTCTTCCCCCTCCTGTGCTGTTCAGGCTCTGGAAACCGCTGGGCTCCCTGAGCTGGAGTTGCATCCCAGAACTATGATCTTTAAGAGTCACCAGTGGACTGTCTTCCATGAGTTTCTGATCACTTTCTGAGTCAGTTTATACTTCTGCCACATAAGGCATGCCCTGATCTAGCTACATATTGTGTGAAAAAATTCTTCCTTTGGATTATTTTAAATCCACTTTTCAATAATTTCGTAGATTGCCCCAGAGTTTCTACACTAAGTTTACCTTTAAACCCATCCCTGCACATGAGAGTCCTGTATTTTTTGTATCTTCACTTGAGATATATACATATATACACACACATATATATACATATACACATATACATATACATACATACGTGTGTGTGTGTGTGTGTATATATATATATATATATATATATATATATATATATATAAAATTTGATGTATTCAGATGACCCATTTGCTTGGCTCATTAATTGTAGAGATGCTTTTCCTTCACTGGGCTAGTATTTTACTGGCTGCGCTCTAAATCCCTTGAATTACCTCTGTTCCTGTGGTTGTTTATTTTCATATTTGATTTTTCTAATCATAAAAGTGTCTGTGCTGCCAAAACCAGCCTTCATTTGAATGTTTAGAAATGTGTAGTGCTGCATGTTTTATCCATGTGTCAGCTTGGAAAGCTGCCAACTTCATAGTCCATGAAGGGGCATGAGTGTTTCATGTGCTTAGAGTTGTATTCTGCCTTCCCTGACGCCAGTGGATATTTTCCTATTGAGTTCAGTGACAGCAGTACTGTTATAAAGAAGCAAAACACTTGCAGATGCGGGAACTGTGTTTTTAAATGAGTGACTTAAAGTCATCAGAAAATCCCTCAAGTCAATCAGTGTTGGCATTTCCTGTTTGTTTTCCTTCCTAGGAGAAGAAGATTTTTCAGATTCCCTGGATGCATGCTGCAAGACATGGGTGGGATGTTGAAAAAGATGCTCCGTTGTTTAGAAACTGGGCAATTCACACAGGTATCAGAACTTTGTTTTCAGGGCAGACTTCACTTTGTTTTTCCCTTTTACAGATACTTTTTCTTTCTTTCATATCCTTGCTTTTACTAACACAGAGAGTGAATTTAAGTTTCCAAATCTGTGGGAGGCGAAGGGCTTCTTTCAAGGTCCTTACTCTCCAGCTTTATTGAGGGGCCATAACTCATTTGAATTGAGACACACAGTAAAACTTAATTGATTCAAACATTAACAAGATTGGGTTCAAAACTGCTGGGAGTAGAGCTTGCTCAGCACTTTGTAGACTTGGACCCTTAGGCTCTTCATGTGTTTCTATGGATTTGAGTCAGACATAATAAAGGTAAATGCTGTGCAAGCTTTTCCACCCTCTTGTAGAATTGCATCTGATCTGCAGTGCCCTAGGTCTTTCTTGAGCAGAAACTATTAATCATGTTCTAAAAATGTGTATGAGACTGAGATCACAGCATTCACTTTCTCTTGCAACCTAAACTACTGTTTGAATGCTTGTCTTGAGAGCTGAAGGCTAACTGAAGTTAACTCATGTTGTTATTAATTCGCCTTAGGTTTTCAATTATACAACATATATACCTAACTTTCTTTTCTTGCTTAGGAAAATACCAGTCAGGAGTAGATAAACCTGATCCAAAAACATGGAAGGCAAACTTCCGGTGTGCTATGAACTCTTTGCCTGATATAGAAGAAGTGAAGGATAAAAGTATAAAGAAAGGAAACAATGCCTTCAGGGTGTACCGGATGTTGCCGTTATCTGAAAGACCTTCCAAAAAAGGTAGACAAGAGAACTTGTGAATATAGGTATTGGGTACATTGTTATGATTTTTGTCAGTGAAAACCACTGAGGATACTGGGGTCTACAAAATGCATGGGTTTTCCTTCAGCTGCTGTAATGCCAGATGTTTTTATCCAGACGTTTCCCAGAAGTTTGGAACTTCTCTGTGAAAAATGGACTATGTTACATTAAAAGAACGAGATACTGTGAGAGAGGATCAACAAGATGTGATCCCCCCAAATTGATGATCTCATGTAAATTGTCGTAGTTCTATTAAAGCCAGTGGAGTTGCGTTTAGATTCTAGTCCCAGGTATCTAGCTTGTTTAAATTCTGGGGCTCCAAGTAAATGCTGCAAAATGGCCAGGGTTTAAAATGAGACAGCGATAGGATGTAAACAGCTGAAAATTTGCAGTGTGACAAACACCCTTAACCTGAATCAGGAGAAATTGTTTTCTGAAGGAGATGTTAATGGGAGTACTGAATTAAAGCACAGGTTCCGGAAGCTGAGAACACCATAGAGAAGAGCTCCTTTTCATTTATCTGTGGTAGCACTTCCAAAATCACAGTCCCCATGAAGTATCCTAATGCATGAAGGCAGCATAGAGCCCTATCTGCCTGTTTTCTAGCTCTTATGGGAGAACTGGATCTCATTTACAGTACCCCTTCAGTCAAGGATGAAGATTTAGGGGGATTTTAGAACTCCGTGTATTTAACACAGTAAAGCTCTTTCAGAATCTGGAGGCAGGCGTATTGCTGTCTTTTTTTCCAAACAAGGGTAGAAATAAACTCATGCTTTTTTGAACTGAGTGGGAGCAGTGCACATCTAAGTATAGCTGTGGCAGATATGTGGCTGAACAGCAAATGTAGAAAAGCTGATTCTGTAGAAGGACATAGGGATGAAGCTGCCACGTGGAGTTAGGAGTACAAATTCAGCGTCCTGGTTTCCTATATAAGGAACAAACTACCAAGTTTGACATTATGGGGAGATATCTCTCTGTTCAGAACATTAAACCATGAAACCATTTCTTGAGTTAAGTAACTAAAGCAGGCCGCAAAGAATGAGCGAAAAGTACTGTCCTGCTTGCCCCCACAGAACAATACTGGTAAAGCAGGAAAGACTTGTCTTTAAATCTCCAGCCTTAGTTTAGGGATCAAGTCTTCCACATGCCAGGAGAGGACCCAGCCACCAGGTCAGTCTCATGAATATTTAGTTGCTTATGAGGTAGAAACATTGACTTATTCCTCTGGACCACAGTGCCTAGGAACTTTGGATGAAAAGATAACCTGCAGTCCAAATGCACTGTCTTCCTGCAAAATCTGATTCAGTTCACCCATAGCTCAATTTGCTATTTTCTTAAACACACATCTAAAAGGAACATATTAAGTAAATGTGTTTGGAAATGAAGATAAGGAACTCTAGCATTTATGAGGAAGAACTAGGCTAAGAAAAGAAGACAGTCTGAAAAAAGTAGAAAAACTTTGCTTTAAAACTGTTTCTGATCTCTGGTCTATGGTGTGTTTTGTACAATCAGGCATATTTCCCTAAACCATATTCTGTTCCGTTGCAGCTGATTCCTCTCATAGCTGTAAGAACTAGAAAAGTTGGGAATGTAACCCGAGATTCTGGAGCTCGGGGCAGTAGCAGGAGAGGGTTCTGCAGCAAGTCCAGTTGCTATACATCTGTGGAATATTTGGGGACTTGTATATATTCTCACTCACCCTTTCTGCATGCCATGGGGCTAAGTTTGTGTATGAGTGCGACCAAAAGAATTTGGCTGCAAACATTTATAATTCACAGTAGTACCTTGTAGTAGGGATGGGTGAAATGCATGGGGCACATCTGCACAAACAGTGGGAAGAGCTGAGCTTGTATCAGCAGGTCTCAGCCTCCACGGCAGGGCCTGCTCAGAACAGAGCAGGGGCAGCAATGTTGAAGCCTGCCAAGGAGCACAAGGTTTTGTGAGGACCATGTGTGGTGTTCCCCCCC